ATCTCACGGCAGCCCCCCAAAAACTAAATAAATAAATAAGCGAGAGAACATGAAGAGTGGCCTCACGAGGATTCTCAGCATCGCTGGTGGGGCAAAAAAGAGAGGAACAGAGAGGGGGAACACGTGCTCTTGTTCACACGCTCTCTAGCCCTGCGAATAACACTGCTTGTGTGGATGTTGTCCACTCAGTAAGCCCCTTGGGTGACATTAGAGCCAAGTCCAAGGCTATAGCAAAGGGTCTGAAAATGTGCTATTGGTGATATATGATGTTAAAGTTAAGACTGGTCCATGGCAAACTGAGGCTAAACTAAGGCTTAGAACACACTAGGGGTGGACAACATAACGATATATTTCCATTATCGTATTAATTACATCATGATACATCTGTCTGAGTATATCACAGGTATCATCAGTACTTCTAGAACAATGAACAACTACACGTATCATGAATGAACAGACTTGGACCAATTACAAAGAGCGTTTAAACAACAAGAGCCAGTGTATAGCAGGGATGTTCATGTCACAAGTCACTTCATGCAAGTTCAAGTTGAGTCATCGTGGTGCGAGTCCGAGTCTCTGAGGTGCTAGTGCGAGTTGAGTCTTGAGTCTCTGGGGTTCAAGTATGAGTCGAGTCTCGAGTCTTTAGTAAAGAATTTTAGTTTTGTCTCATTATTTGCTGCAGGCATCGCATCATATAAAAGTAAACTGTCTGACACCTTTAATTATAGAACCAGCAACCAAAACACAACATAAGCTGGTTTTCCTGGTGACCAGAAATGCTGGTCTATAACGATTTTTCTAGCAGGGTAGTTAGAGTAATAGCTAATCCAGCACATTTTAAAGAAATGTAATCTGCAACTTCACCTAGGTTATTTGACAACTTCAGCCAAATTAGCTAGAACACTTGCTATTCAAATTACATGCTAGCCAGCCTTTTCAAGTTGTTTTGCCTCTTTCCTTAAAGCACCGCATTTACTGCATGTAATGCTTTACTGTATGTCAGATTTTTCTCATTATTTGAAGCTACATCTAACCTGACACAGCTGCAAGGTGCTGGAGAACGGCATTGGAATGAAGACTGTGCATGAACATAAAAAAAAAAATGACAGGTAAAGTCACACAAAGTTAGAGACGACTATTTTTATCGCATCAAGGATCTCGTTTGGCTGAAATTTCAAGTATCTTTGGCCTTGATTTTGAGTCATGTTAGAAGTCAGTTAGTTGAGTCATGAGTCAGTCAACATGCGACTCAGGTGTGCATAGAGTCCGAGCCGCTAACTACAGCTTCCTTCTCTGGTGTGGAGTAACTGCATATACTGCATAGTAACAAGCAGCTGATTGGATGTCAGCCCATAATGACATTATCTTATTTTAATCATTTAATTCTACCATTTTTTTTCTCATATTCTTTCTTAAATAGTTTCTTTTTACACTGAATTTTAAAAAGATGTTGTACGCAGTTTTTCATACCCTATTCACTAATGTGGCTCTACTGTTTTGCAGGTACACTGTATTCATTCCAACATATTCACAAACCTCAGAAAAGTCAAACATCATGATGAAAATGTCTTCAACTATTGTGATGTTATATTTTTGCCATTAGGCGCAGCTCAGATTAGCCCAGGGCAGGCTGAGGTTTAAACTGAGGGTCAGCACACATAAAGCTGAGCTACCTTTGTCTATGTGTATGTGTGGAATGCCTCTACTGTACAGACCCTGGTATGCACATCTCAGTAGGTGGCTAGTAAATGTAAACAGTAGTGATATATGGCTAGTCCAGCTGGCAAACACATGGCCACATGAGCTTGCATCACTGGTTTCCCAGATTTTTCCCTCCACTATAGGCCCATGGGAGGGAATAAGTATATAGGGCAAGGTGACGACTGACCCAGCATGTGACCCTTCTCCCTGCATTCAAATCCAATCATTCTTCCTTATAATCCAAGCCAATGCTATTATTTCAGTGCCTCCAGTTCAAACACGCAGGGCCAATTTAGAAACACGGTCAAATACAAAGATATACACACCCAAAGAGGCTCATCTTGTCTAATGGCATTCTTCTTCATCAATAACAACACATCAGAACAGTTAAGAGAAGGTATTACAATATGCCTATTAGTTCAGCTTGGACCAAAAACTAACATTAATTAATAATCACTCGTCTATTACACTGTATCCTCTCGGACAACATAGAAGAATAACACTGGACTGAGTCCATGGCTCATTGATTTGATAGGGTTCCTACTGTATTCCTCCACCAGAACAAAGACAGCCCAGACAGCATGCTGGTTGTCAGATACATACGAGAAGTGAGCTAGAATGCCCTCAGGGTGCCAACCCCCAGCAACAAAGGAATACAGGCATGGAGACGGAGACTCAGAGGGTAAAGGAGACAAATCAAATCTCAAGAAAACATGCACACAAACACATACAGGGCATATATTTATGTATTCAACAAAAGAAATACTGGTGCTGATGTCTGCATATGCAGAGAAACCAGATGGCTGATTATTCCATTTTCTGAGAAATGGCCAAGAAACGGCAGCTTCCGCTAAGACGCTAAATAAGAATCTCTATGATTGTGAAGCAACCCCAGCACTGACGTAAAGGACGAGAGAAACCACAGTGAATAACCGGCATTCTCTGCTTCCATCTGATCATAATAATTCTTTGGCTTCAAAGAGCACTGAAATGTCACTATGCTTACCAGCGAGAATTCACCAACAAATGACACTTTAATGACTGATGAAGTGTGGGAATTCTCTTGGCCCTGTGGAACGAGAGACTGAACGAAGCATGTCAGATTACAAGATCAAAGAGGCAGTTTCTCCAAAAAAAATCTGTGTTAAGATCATTTTAATCATTAATTTAGGTCACTGGTGCTTGTTCCATCATTGTAATACACTCCAAGAAGAGTTCTTTGGAGTGATGCCATAGAAGAACCTTAAAGAACCTTTTAAAGGTTCCACACCATAATTTTTTCTTGCACTTTGTTGTTTTTTCCAATGAGGTTCACTTATAATATTCATGAGGTTTTGCATCCAGTAATTTCTTTTACATGATCATTTTCCAACCTCTTGTTATCTCTTTATTGTGCAAAATATGTAAATGAGCTCTGTTCTGATTGGCTGCCCTGTATTGTGCCTAAGTACACAATCTGGGCTGAAACACTCCTTATGACTTCAGAGTGAATGGGTGGGGCTAAACTGCTGTATGTTGTGTAGGCGGATATATGTAAATCTATTGGTTTTTGTGACATCACAAACACAGTGAATTCAAAATGGGTTGGTTTTGCAGCCTAGTTTCTATGTAGGGACTATATGGAGTGAACTTTAACGTTGTTTACATATTACATCAAAGTATTTTATTAAAAATTAGGGAAATTTTCCTTATTATGGGCCCTAACTGAACCTGGACATGAAGTAAAGATCTTGTACTCATTAACAATTTATCCTAGAACTGTACAAACTCACTCCCAATTCAACCACTATTCATTTAACACTATAATAGGGCATGCGATAAAGGGCACCAAAGTAACCAAAGCACCACATCACACTAAAAAACCTAAACTGTATTGCACATAACTGGACTATTTTAATCACTACCCTTATTAATGTGCCCTTGAGGCACTGCTAAGTGGAACACCACACTCAACTAGGCTGACCAACAGGGGTGCCTCCAAATTGAGGCAAACAGTGACCACCACCAGGCGACCTAGTCCACCAAACGGTCCTCGTGACACAGAGCTGAATGTGGGGAGTCATGTTTTGACCCACATTTTGCAATCTCCCGGCGCACGGTGATCAGCATCAGCATGCAACCAGGAGAATCTAGGGCTAAATTATGAATGAGATCAGCATGTGTGTGTGTCAAAATTGCACCGAGCAAGGAAAATAAACTGCACGGAGCAAAAAAGGGGGGGATGGAAATGAGAGTGGGCATTAAGGGGAAAGATGAAGAGGGATCTGCATGAATGAGTGTCCTCTTTGATGAAGTCACACCGCTTTGCAGGCTGGCGGCGAGAAGCTATTGCTCTTTGCATTGCACCATACAGCAGCCTGATGGTCAAAAGGGCTCGGTATGGTATAGTGCTGGACAGCTGGGTTACGATAAGCTTCCTGTTCCGTTTGAATATGCCTTGCATTGCTCACAAATGAAACGAAAGGGGAGAGAATAACATCTAAGGCTTGACAGACAAGGTGCATAGCTGGACACACTGACTGCCCAGCAGCCTTTGTAGACATCAGAATGGCACAGCAGTGCTAGTAACTTTGGTCATAACTGGCTTCTAATACAATTCCTTCCACTCAAATATTCTGCATCACCCGCAAATGGAGGAAAGGGCCCAGTCTGGGCTACTGGACATCCCAATGACTGTCCAACATCCTATGCGTCCGCCCTGTTACAGGGTCTTCAATAAAAATGATGCATGGCAGAAAATCAATGGATCGCTTTCCACGTTACAGAGAAGGAGACAGTATTTCTGTCGTGCACAAGAGAGAGAGGGAGAGGAAGAGTGAATGGCACAGAATGGAGAGGTTGCGTCTGCTTAATCAGCAGCAGACCGGCCACACGTCTGGCTCATTGTGTCCGTAAGGATTCACTCTCCATCAGGTCTCGTACAGCTGCAGAGCAGCTTGAATAATGAACCCTGTATTGAGCAATATGTACCTGCAAAGTAGAGCCTGTATGAGCGACGGTATGGCCAGTAGTGAGGAACGTGCCATCAAATACCACAGCATGGCTACTGAATGGCACAGCAGCCCCGGTTACCATGCAATGGTGCTAAGCCCAAGCAGAAAGCGCCCATGCATACTGAACGGAACTGCACAGCGAGGAATCTGGTGTTAAATACGCACGTAAAGCAGCTGCTCTGCATACGAAGACAAACAGAACCTGCACACAGTGCGTTTTGGAAAACAGGGCTTTGCGATGAAACGCAATCCGCACGGAGGAAAAAGCATGCAGATACAATGCCACCTCTAAGCCCCACCGCCTACCTTCATGTCATTGACAATCGCCTGGAATAGCCCACCAAGCGCCCCGCACTCCTTCTCCACCGTCTCCATGCTTATAGGATCCAGCTTTGCTGATTGAGAGGGAGCCTCGAAGGCTTATGTGAAAGGAAAAAAAGGAGGAAAATCAGCCCTTTTCTACGAGGATTTCCACGATAGCAAAGTCGATGTCCCTTCCGCTGGGCAGAGCGGTGCGTCTGAATTCCCAATAGTGGATGTCGAGATGGTTCAATGGTGGAGAGAGAAAAGGCTAAAGCAGCGCAGTCACCCCGGTGCCCGGCGATTTGGGGCAACTGTGGTGAGAAGAGAAGGGAGAGAAACAGAGAGAGAGCGAGAGAGAGAGAGAGAGAGAGAGAGAGAGAGAGAGAGAGAGAGAGAGAGACTCTCTCTCTTCCCAGCTCCGGGTCTACTCCCCACGGGTGGAGGTCAGGCTCGCAGATGGCACCTCAGCAATCACGGTCATCTTCGGACAGAGCAGAGAGGTGGAGTAGGAGCTGGATGTGGAGGGGAAAAGCTGGAGGAGAGAGCGTGTGTGTATGTGTGTGAGTGTGTGGAGGTGTGGGGGGTGCGAGTGTGAGGAGATGCAGCGAGCTCAGCTGCGGCGCGGACTCAGACTGAGGGCGTTGTGTTTTGTTTTCCACCCGTACTCCGACAAACCACTCCCTCCTATGCTGGGATTGGCTGGTGGTTTCACGCCTACGAGGGCTTTGGTGTTTCTTCGCAGGTTAAATGCTATACGGACTAAAATGGGTTTGCACTATTTCTGTATTTCTGTCTACGTTTGTTTTTTTCTCCTGTGTTCGGCGTCCAACTTTTTTCAAGTTGTAGTTTCAAAAGTGAGACATTTTAATGCGGTTAGCGCTGAGTAGGAGTCGCGAAAAACTACAATGTCCATAATGCATTGCGCTCAACACTCATTCATTGGTAGTTTTGATCATATGTCTCATTAAAGCACATTAAAATTGTATCCTTCATGCTGTTCTCTTTTCCTTTGTGACTATAGCGTACTATACTATGCTTTACCTTTTGGTGAAAATATTATTAAAAAAAATTAAAAAGCCTTTTGATTAGTGCTTATTATTTTGTGTTAATCAATAATATTCACAAGCAACCAACCAATCCGAACGCAGCAGGCGGGGCCTGCCAGAATACAGGTGGGGAAAAATAGCGTGGCTAGAGGAGGCAGTAATCTGATCCATGGGAATGGACGCGGGGCAGGACAGCTTTCTTGTCACATGGAAAAGGGGGGGGGGAGAAGAAGGGGGAGACGACGAGACACTCTCACACGTTTGTATTGCTTCCTTTGTGGGGTATTTCCATCGCTTTGTGTATGGCTGTAGCTGCTGTGCTACACCCTAACCTAATCCTAACCTTAACCTCAGGAACCAAAAACAAATATTTGGCCTCTTTCACATTCTTAAATAAAAGCTGCTTTTCCTCATGGGAGCCAGCCAGATGTCCCCACAGTGTCACATTTCCCTGTCAGCAACGGAGCGATTGGTCCCCACAAATACTTAAATACACACCTACACACCAAAACACACATGAGAAGGGAGCTCATGCAGCTAACTCTAAATTTAAATTGAAAACCTTGAGACCTGTCAATGATATGAAGAAAGACACTCAGACATAAAAAATGTTTTGTAAAGGGACACGACAGCCTCGCTGTGATGAACCTGTTTTACCTGTTTTATTTATGTATAAAGTATGAAAAGAACCTGTTTTATTTATGTATAAAGTATAAACAGAATACGTTTGCTCTCTTTTAGTCACTTTCCATATGTAGCTCTGAACCCCAGGGCTAATTATTGTATTTGGTCTATAAAGTCATAAGTCAGTACTGTCACATCATTTACTGCATGCTGAACAAGTAAAATGTAATGCTGTGCAAATAATTTAAAGCATGTAGGTGTAATGTGTATTCAAATTTGAGCATGAATCCACATGTGACAGACCTTTGAGTCTAAACAGTGACATATTTTTATGTAAATGTTAACACTGACAATTATTTGTAGTTTCTGCTCACATTTGGTCCACAATTACTGAAAATAAAATCTCCTTACATTAACATACATTAAAGTTAAAAACATTTTTACCTTCTACAAAGATATCACATGGTAATAGTAAAAGGATGCAAGGTTTGTTATTATCACATGACCCATAATCTATAACCTAGACTCCCAAGCCTTTCTTCTGGTCTTATTATGGCAATTGCAACAGATCATCACACCTCTAACCAATCAAGACTTTATACAGATTTGCTGACAGATATACAGTCGTATGCAAACATTTGGTACCCCTGCACAAATGTTACATGTTATATGTACATAAATATACATGTATATTTATTTGTGTGTGCGTGTATATATATATATATATATATATATATATATATATATATATATATATATATATATATATATATATGTCAAAAAACTGGAAAATGTCAAAAATGGAGATACGAGATTTTCTTCTGGCAGCAGCATTTTATATATATATATATATATATATATATATATATATATATATATATATATATATATATACATGTTTTACATTTTCCAGTTTTTTGACATAATTTGAAAGTACCTGTTGTCTTTTACATGGTATGTAAATTTCATGATGAATAGACTAAAAGAAGCGGTCCCAAATCACTTGGAAAAAAGTCTGGTTCCATTGACTTACATTGAAAGTAAAATAGGTTTTTTCCTTCTACTCTAAACATTTTGAAGATACACGGTTTTCTTCCAACAGCAGCAATATATATATGGAAATAATGTGCAGAAAAAAACTATATTTTCTGTTTTTTTTCCTCTGTAGAGGGAGTGTTAACTTATTTGTGCACTTAGACAATCAAGAAAGAGGGCCGCCCAAACTTCACTAGAACTAGAACAATAGAAATAAACTCTTAAGGAGAGGTAAATGTCCCATAAAACTCTGCTAATCATATGGAGCTGTGATAATTTTGGTGCTGACTGGCTTTGTCTATATTAACCTCACCAGTAATTTCACCAGATGAATGTGGCTAGAATAGGCTACACCCTATAGGGACCTATAATACCAATTTATTGGCAGTTTGCTGAATGCTGAACTCTAGGCCTATTATTCAGTTGTTAATCTTAATACTTGTTTCTGTTTAGTATTATGTAACTACTATGAAAATAATATATAAGTTATGCAGTTATGAGAATGAAGAACTGACGAGTGGCCTACATTGAGGCCTTTAGGTTATAAGGAGTTAATATTAATGACTTCCATGTCAGCTCAGGCCTAATGGAAAAGATCCAATCTGCATATTTCAGTTTTTCCATAAGTGGGCATATTATGCACAGAGGAAGGCTAATGAAATTTAAATGAGATCCCATGTTATGACTTGTGACAGAGACAGAGGTTAAGGAGGGTGAGGGGCGAGTGGACAGTGAAGTTGTGGATCACAAGGAGAGGGTAGAGTTCATGCGAAAGCAAAAAAAAATCCAACACACACTTCTAGAAAGGGGGTCCTGGGTGACCTTCTTGAGCTGGATGTAAAATAAAGCGTCTTTGATGGAAAAGCATTTTCACTTCTGTCTTTTACTGTCATTTTCTCTCTCTCTCTCTCTCTCTCTCTCTCTCTCTCTCTCTCTCTCTCTCTCTCTCTCTCTGAGGGACCCCCTGCCAGGCCGGGCATTACTCAGCATGATGGAGGCTGCTGGCATCAGCATCCTGCCAGTCTCCACAGAGCGCTCCCATCATGCCCAGACCTGCCACTCATCCTGCCAGCATCTATCCCTGCCTTAAAGGAATACTCCAGAGTTTTTCAGCCTAACCTCTATTTACCACATCTGAATCACACTGTTTATTACCACACACAATAATTTCGACACATTGCCCTGTACTTAGAAAGGAACAGAAAACCCATGAACTCAAAACACACTTATAATAGAAGCCAACGGGCAGTTGCTTCAGGAATGTTGTCATATTGTGGCCTCTTTTACCTCTTACTTTCAATAGTGCAGGAATGTGATGTTCTGTAGTTACACAGTCGTATGCACATGTTTGAACACCCCTGGCCAAATGAGGTGTTCTGTTGATTTTCTAAGTGAAAAAAAGTTCCTCTACAGAGATCGAATGTAAAATGGCAGTTTTATGCTAATTTGAGTGCACAATTTCTATTTATTTGCTGAATTTAACATATTGGGGAAAAAAATTAAGCATAAAATTCTTTATGCACATTTTTTGTTTAATTTGTTTATGCAATATATTATATTCAGCAAATAAACAGCATATTGTGCATTAAAATGTGTTGAGTGTTGTCTGTAGAGGATATGTTAACTCTATTCTCCGAGACACGTGAAGCACCACCGCAACTTTTCCGACTGCCACTAACGCATCATCATTAGACAGCTCAACACGCTTGGAGGAGAACACTAACTTCTGTTAAATCAGCTAACACAATGCCAGTTTAGGCTAGCATTTCACTAAGCTAAATTTTTGGATAGTGCTTGTTCACCGGTGTGTGGTAGCCTTCAAAAGTCCCATGTGGAACTTATTCCAAAAGATACATAAAAATCATGCCAGTACTTCCTTCAACTCAGTTTACATGAGCTTGTCTCTTGTGTTGGGGGAGCGTTTTGGTATTTTACCTGCACACTTTTAACTCTGCTTAGCAAGGGATTGCAGTTGTTTTGGGGGTGTGCTTTGTTGAGAGATTTACAGGGGACTTTGTCTCTTGTATTAGGGGTGTGCTTATTACTGTTGTTGGAATTATATCTCCGTTTTTGACGTTTTTGACGTTTTTCAGTTTTTGACATAGTTACCCTTTACATTGTGTGTACATTTTAGAATGAATGGACAAAAAAAAAGATCCAAAATGACTTGGAAAAACGTCTGGTTCCATTGACTTACATTAAAAGTAAAGTAGGTTTTTTCCTTTCCCTGTAAAGTTATCATTTTGGAGATACAAAGTTTTCTTCCAACAACAGCGATATGTTGGTTAGATCTCACCAGCACACTCCCGACTCAGCTTACATGAGCTACTTGATTATTTGTTCCACCTGGGTTTCAAACAGGTAAGAGGGACACACCTGTACATTTGCTTCACGCAGGCGTCTACTGCCTAGTTCCCTAGGTCAGAGGGCGGACACTTCCCAATGTACTTTTGATAATTGGCCAGGGAAGTCTAGTGTGGTTAGCTTGTGGTTTAGTTTTTGTACTTCTTGTTTCAGAGTAGGCAAGCATGGTTGGTTTGTTTTTTTCTTTGGTGCTGTCTACAGTTTGATTCTCCCAGTGTGGTACTAGATATCATAGCACAGTGTTTTGAATGTGGTTTGTTTTTAATAAAAAAACGGCCTCAAAAGCTCTTGGTCTCTGTTCCTTGTTCCTTTTCCATATACTTCACTGATCCAGCAGTGCCCTAGACAGAACGTAGAGTTGTAACATTCATGAAAACTTCAAGTGTTAGATTTATATAAAATGAAAGTTTTACAATTTCTTCTACATACAGTAAAAACAATTAATGTTAACATCTGTTCACATCTATTGAAAACCTTCAAGGTAATTTTGGACAATTTCTATTAGTCCAATAAAAAAAGAGTTTTCCTGGAAAAGGTTTTCTTACTGACCTTTGAAGGTGCATCGTCATTCTGTAGTCAGCATCATGCCCATATTAG